ACTACTACACTACTACNCTACTACTACTACACTACTACTACTACTACTACTACTACTACTACTACTACTACTACTACTACTACTACTACTACTACTACTACTACTGCTACTACTACTACTACTACTACTACTACTACTACTTTATTATTATTATTATTATTATTATTATTTATTATTACTAATTATTATTATTACTACTACTACTATTATTATTTATTATTACTAATTATTATTATTATTATTACTACCATTATTATTAATTATTATTATTCACAATACCATCTTCAAAAGCAAATCGACATGTATGATGCACATCTGATAGAGGCCAAACTGTTCGTCCATAAATTACAGCTTGACCTTTATTAATCAATCCACGATTAATCGGATACTGTACAAATTTCATTGGTATCATCCTTCTAGTTACTTTGACAACAATGTACAGAGTTAGTAGTATGAAGGAATTTCTTGATTTTCCCAAGTAATATCGGAAATATGACATTTTGGTGCGTAATGATTTCATAGAATAGAAGTTTCGAGATTCTTTCAGTGAATAAGATTCTCCAAATTATTCTGAATCACTTCTTAATGAATATTAAACAGTGTAACAGAAAAGCCTGAATGACGTCACTTCCTACATGTACAATACAAAATTCCCATTTCAATTACAAGGAATCATAATAACAGAAGGAAAATGTGAACTGTGAGATGACAGCTCCATTCTATGAACAACTTCTCTGCAACTTCTATTTCACATAGACATATATATCATATACTCCTCATTGAATGTCAACAAAAGATCAACAACAAAGCGCAAGCGTAATGAGAACAATGATTGTTGAATGATTGCAACAATGCATGTGTATCTATTGTCCACATAATCTATGCAATGTGACAGTATTTATGTTATGAATCATTTAAAAGATTGGATGAATTCTTACGATGACACTGTTTCTGAGGTTAATATGTGCAGCGAAATGAATGTGATGGAAAAGAAATGAATGAAGAAAAACCGTTGAAGAAAGGGAAATAGAATGAGTAAAAGAAAAATTACAGTAAAGAGACAAATTAGAAATTAAAATATATTTGAGTGCTAATTGTTGATACTGTCAAATCAAGAATGACCTTTAAAATTGACCGATCAATATTTCCAGGGTAGTAAACTTTAAGAGATCAGCAATAAAATGGAGTAAGAAAAGGGAAGGGATAGGATGGAAGACAAAAACACACACACAATAATGATCAATGTGATTTGAAAAACTTGGATTGGAACATAAGTTGACATATTATCTGATATATTGATTGAATTATGTCACTCTAAAAGCTATGCCCTTATTTATATCCTTTTATACATTCTCATATAATTATAACAAATTTCCAACTGTAAATAAATGGTGAAAGAAATGGAATAAATTGGATGGAAAAGATTAGAATTACGACACGATGACCTATTTTTACAGCATTTTTTTATGAATACTTGAAAATTTTTGAAATTAGAAGACTGAGGAAGCGAAAAAAAAATGACAAATATATGATAGAAACTAACTGATTTAATTCTTGATATCATTTAATTAAAATCCATTCTAACCGATATTAAATCGAAATTCGGAAATGAGTTTAAAAATTAAGCAATTGCATGAAAGTTGATGGACTTAAAAGTATTACACAACATTGGGTATATTCACATATCCCTTAAAAGCTAAACTATTTGGATTATTGATTATCTCGATGTAACCGCATTCCATATACCGAACATCGATATTTTCCTGCATAAAGTGTATGAAAATTGATGATTTGAAGTGTGATATAGCAGCATATCCCGTGGTATCCTTTTAAAGCTTTTTAGAATCTTTGGATTATTGATTATCCTGATGTAGCTAATTTCGGAAAACCGAAAGAATTTATTATACATTAAATGCCTAGAATATTTCTAATGATTCATCAATGCATTCATTCACCAATTTACATTCTTTAAAATTATCTCCCATACGTTTCTTTTGTTATC